AAACAGACAGCAGCAACCGCGCCTCAGAACCTTTCGTCTGCCACCCCACGCTGCCCTTTGGCCCATGCCGCCTCTTGCTTAAGGTCTGCACAGCCTGCACGGTTGCCGCAATGCGTTGCACAAATGACCACATCACTGCAATGCAATGTCGGCAGCGTGCAAACAGACAGCAGCAACCGTGCCTCAGAACCTTTCGTCTGCCACCCCACGCTGCCCTTTGGCCCATGCCGCCTCTTGCTTAAGGTCTGCACAGCCTGCACGGTTGCCGCAATGCGTTGCACAAATGACCACATCACTGCAATGCAAAGTCGGCAGCGTGCAAACAGACAGCAGCAACCGCGCCTCAGAACCTTTCGTCTGCCCCCCCACGCTGCCCTTTGCATGCCGCCTCTTGCTTAAGGTCTGCACAGCCTGCACGGTTGCCGCAATGCGTTGCACAAATGACCACATCACTGCAATGCAATGTCGGCAGCCGCGCCTCACGAGTCGCGCTGGGAATCGTGGCCATAGTCAAACCTGTTCTCGGTCCACGTCTGAGACCCTCGCCCTCCGTGAGCGCCTCGCCCTTGGCCTCGCTCGGCAGCTTTCCGCTGAGCCTTGTCCATCCTGATGATGTGGCATCCTCTCAGCTGATCGCGGACTCGCGTAGACCGCGTTCTCCACTTCCAGGCGCTCTCGCAGCCATGTTGTCAAGCCTTTCTCACACGCGAGCCCTCCAAGTTCATGCCTCCACGGGGCGACCGCTTCTTGTCGATCTCGAAGCTCCGGAGCTTCACATCTCGCTCGAAGCGAAGCCCCATCCCACGTTGGAGACAGCGCGTCCTTCCCTCCTCTGACTTCTCGGCCATGCGTACGGCCAAGCCGGATCTTTTCCACGTTATAACGCGGAGCTCGTAGCTCTCGTTCAAGCCCAAACGGCTTTCAACAAACATATGCGTACATGGCCCAGGGGTGGGTGCCTCAAGCTGAGTTCGCACGGAACTACAATACTGATGCCCCGTAAACGGAAAACTGTTCCACCACTTGCCAAGCGTGAAATGTCCGTCAGCAATGCACAACAACTCCATCTGTGGCAGAAAGCCCCAAAACACATGCTTCGACATGTCTTCCGGCACCGTGTCTTAACGTCCTCCACCAGTATGTTGCATGTTGCAAGGTGTAAACTGCAGAGATCCGGCATGATTCATCTCAGCTGACATCCGCAAGAACACCTTTTGGCATCACTCGTATGGACTATTAGACAGTTCCCACGAGCACCCAGGCACAGCTGCCTTGCACCGGAAGAGTCTCAAGCTCTGCATGAGCAGCACCCAAAACCCATTGATTTCTGGCTCTAAGTTGGCTCTGGAAGAATGTGCAGCTTGCTACCCTCATAAAACCACACACTAGAACTATCCGCCAGAATGGCTCATGGAGTTTTGGGCGCCGCAAAAAAGTGCCCTCTGCCAGTGTGGCGAGTGGCAGTGCTGCCTCTGCATCTTGCTTGAGGAAAAACGGTGCGCAAAAAAGGGCAGCTTGCCCAAAAAGATTGAACTCGCAGTGAAGTTACCCACTTGGCGCTTTGGATTGGAGCCGGACGGACTAAATTTCCCCACATTAGCCATCAGGCATCATTCCAAGGCGCCCATTGGAAACCTCAGAGGACTTATGCCAAGCGCACGTAGTTGTGCTGTGGCTAATGTCACCCTTGACACGTCTACCGGCGCCGGCCTAAGAAAGGCAGCGAGGAACTCCATACCAAGCGGGGCACCGGTGTCCAATTGTCAATCAGGATTAGTTGAAAGGCTCACAGAGTAAGCCAACTAAAAGTCCACAATTACACCAGAGAAAGTTGGCACAATTCCCACCTACATATGGCTAAGTGGCGGATATGACAAACGCCAAATGGGGGGAATGATGCCAATGTTCGCGCTCTGAGAAGACTCGATCCCCTACAAAAAAATGAGGCGACGCTCCAAGCCTTCGGCCCGGGCGGGCTCGTCTTTCGCCAGAGCTGGAAACCGGGTTCTGAGCTTCCGCAGGCGCAAGCGCTCCTTCACCACCTATCGGGGGAGAGTCTTCGGCCAGGCTGCTGATTTCCCACCCCACTCGGATGTTGTTTTTTTCCGTCCTGGCTACTAAAATGCTGTAATTTACGGCATTGTCTCGCGAAATGTACGTATTTTACGCTGGTCCGTCAACATCATCAGCATCGTTTTCAACATCCCCCGCATGTTCAGCCAACATCCCCAGCATCACCAGCAAATGGTTGGTTCAGCATCATCAGTTCCTCTCCGGCAAGGTAGGTAGGCATTTATGTATGCATGTTAAAAAGAGGGGCGGGTCCCCCTCATGGTGGTAAAAGTGAGGATTCATACCCCCCATAATGATTGAAAAAGTGCCAAAAATCCAAAAAGTAGCAGGAGGGTTGGGGGGGGGGGGGGGAAAAATGTAGAAAAGGCTTGTCCTAGGGGGTGGGGGGTAGATGGTTGCCTGTTCTGTTTTCTTTTTCACAATTCAACACGTGTACCACCTTATCCGTTTTTTCAAGGCTGATTTTGGGGGCATGAAATAACGATATGGATGTGGCAACGAATTGATGATTTGGTCCCCTGTCTCGTTCCAGATTTCAACTTTTAGTTTTATTGATTGAAAGAGGATAGGACTTTCTGTGGTTTCACGGGTTGGCTTTTGGGCGGGTCTTCTGGTTTGATGAGAGAGAAGCATGACTCATCCAAGCCTTCGATTGAGATTCTTGTTGCTCGCTGTTTCGTCAAGTCAGGTTTGTAGTTTCGACTCATCTTTGACCCTGTTCTGTGCCTTGTCCTTTTCCGATGGCTCCTAAGAAGGTCATCAGTGAGGCGGCAAAGGCACGTGCCCAGACACGCGTCAAAGCGAAGGCGTTCGCCTCTGCTTACGTTGGCGCTGAAGCACCTCCAGCACCATGGGTGGGGACTACAGACGATTACATTACCCAGATGGTTGCGACCGAAGATGTGCTCTCCTCTGTGGCGATGTCTTCCACGGAGACCATCCAGAACATCATCCCTGCTCTCTCCGATAAGATTGCAAAGCAGACTGAGGTTCTCAATGCTTGTCAAATGATTGTCAAGACACGCGAGCTCGCCCTCCAGAAGCAACAGAAACCACAAGTTGAGAAGCCGACCAAGATGGAGAAGTACAAAGGCAAAATGGTCATCTTCGTGAATACTCCGTCTGGGCAACGCATCAAGATTGCCGTGTCACGTGCCAAGTCGCTGGCATTCTTCAAGGAGCGTGTCGGTGAGAAGACCAAAGAGTTTGGCAGCAGCTCCTCGATGTTCAAGAGCATTGCCATTGTCAAGAACAGCAAGTTCCTGAACAACCACCCGCGTGGCATGATCGTGAATATGTTGGAGGACGGTTGTGAGGTTGATGTGATGTGGTATGATGACCTTCCCGATGATGCTTTCCCAGATGGTGAGGAGATGGCTCCGAATGACACCGACGCTCTGACCAGCGATGAGGAGTCGGAGGAGAACATTGATGAGCAGTGAAGATAGATGTATCAAGATGTTGTCAACGGGTTGACACGGCATACATACAGTACAGACTTCAGATTGCACCCTTTGCCAAGTGATTGAAAAAAAGGAGGATGACTCTTGCATTATGGCTTGAAGTGAGCTTCGGTATTGTGTCGCTTGTGTGCGAGCTTAGACACTGCTATGCTTGAACCTTGAGTATTTGCTTGAAAGCATGTCTTGCCTTTGCAGACGTTTTGGGTCTTTTGTTTCTTACCTTTGCCCTCATTTCCCTCCCTGTGCTTGTGTACCAATGTCGTCCCGAAAGCCCATCATCAAGAATATGAAGAAGGATGAAGCTGTCAAAGCTTTGATTTCAAAGACGTCGGCTTCGGTGAAGAAGTGCTTCGGTGAGTTTGAACCTCCTCAAATCACCCCTCGTCTTCTTCAACCAGTTTTAGAACCAATCAACGAGGTTGTGAACGAAGTCAAGAACAAGCTGCGTGATGGTGAGCCAGTGATTGAGCAAGCTGTCAAGAATCTCTCTGACAGTCAGCTTCAATCCCTTCAGTCCATATTCGAACGCAAAGTGGGTGTGCCGACAGAGCAGAAGCTGATACAAACAGCCTTTGCTGTCCTCCCTGAACTAAACTTCATCGAGGAGTGCGTCCCATGCTTGGAGGAGATGCGGTTGAAGTTGCTTGCCACGTTTGTGGAAGCCTATGGAGTTGAGTTCAATCAACAAAAAGGAGCAGAACGGGTCTTCTCCAACGACAAGTTTGTCAGCTTAGTCAGCAGGGAGATGTCGTTCAGGGAGGGTCTTCGTCGTGCAAGCCAACAAGGTGAACCTTCTGCGGACCAAGAACGACCAAGTGAGAGCAATTGTTCAATTGTGTAAAGCGGTGTGTCTCAATATTCTGTTTTCAGGGTGTTTACAACGATTACCTTCAATAGTCAACCCTCACAATAGTCAAACCTCACTATTGCCAATTGCCAATTGTCAGTTCCACTATTGCCAATTGTCAGTTCCACTATTGCCAATTGTCAGTTCCCACTATTGCCAATTGTCAGTTCCCACTATTGTCATTTGTCAGTACCCTCAATTCAACGCTTTCAGTTTGGTGTATTGAGACACTATCCAAACGTTTAGAAGGTTGTACTCAGCACAGCATAAACCAACCTTCCCTTCTGATGTGTCACAATTTGGGCTGAGCGACCATCTCGCTCGTCGGGGCATACGAGCTGTTGTTGTTTTTTTGTCTTTCTCTCCGCTGTGAAGGTTGCCTTGGGTAGACAACCTTCACTCACTTTGTCGCCTTTTGGAAGGGCGACACTGAAGGTGTCAATATACCTCATCAACCGCCATTTGAAAATGACAGGGACAAAATTGCATACCTCTCATTTTCGTGCAGGACGGGGTTTTATGCGATGTCTGCTTGTCATGTGAGGGATTGCTATGCTCACGGTCGGCATTTTGTCAGTTTGGTAGTTTCACCCTTGTCATCCAACCACTCCTGAGCCATGATGATTGACGCGAGCACGCAAACCAACGAGGACATGAAGCACATGGTCAAGTTGGAACATAGTGTGGCGGCTTTGCAGTTTGTCGTCAAGAACGGTTGGTCACAGAACCCCGTTCTGCCAGATGGTGAGGACGGTCTTCCGTTTGTCTTCACGCAGTGCTCGATGCAAGAACTCATCTATACCGAGCACTTCTTCCACTTTGACATGGTGAGGGACATCCCCAAAAATCGCTGGGAAACCATCAAGGCTGAGTGGTCTTTGAGACAAGACAACACTCCTCACTGGTGTCGCGGAGACATCGATGATGCTCGCCACATGCTCAAAGATTGCTGTTTTATTATCCTAGGCTTCCCCGTGCTTGTGCTTCGCCAACGAGGTTCAGGTCGTGTGGAGAAGTTTGTCATCTATGTCAGTGTGGGCACGCACAGGCAGGTCTACCACATCACAGCGTCTGACCTGCAGGATGCCTACTGGAATGAACATTCGACTACGATGAGGAAAAATGGTTGGAGAAAGCGAGAAACAGCTTTTCGCTGGATTTCATGGCAAGACTATGACGGAGGGCTACGTGGGCTTGCGATGGAGGGCGAAGAAGACCTCCACCAACATCTTGAGCAGACGGAACAGGACTTCCTACCTCTGGATGAAGCCATCGGGGAAGAGCTCTTCTATCAGCCGGTGGAGGTGGTTTACCAAGACCATGGAGATGACTACTTGGACTCCGACATGAGCGAACCAGAGAGTAATGAGAGCTCTAATTCTGAGTGAGACGAGTGTCTCGTTTGTGCTCATAGCACGATGCAAGACGACTGAACAGGTCATGCCCGTGCTTGACATACCATGCGTTGGTTTTAGACAAGTGAAAATGAATGATGCTGAGCAGGGTCTTTCTGTTTCCTTGTTTTCCCTCTACCCATGGGTGGATTATTGGACACGGCTGTTTGATGAAACGGAGACCCTTTTGATGTTATACCTCATCCCGTGTCCAATAATTGCCCAAACACCCCCTCAAAGGCAACAGGCATCAACGTAGGGAACACACAGGCAGGTCTGACGGTTGCTCAACGAGATGAATTACCCAAACCCCAAATAGGAAAGCAACCGTCAGTGCTGATTTGATTGGTCGATGCAGAGAATATGCTAGTGTTGCATCTCACACGCTTCTAATGGCGGTTTTCCTCAACCCTCACATTTGTTGAATCACTTATCCAAGGTGGCAGGGAGCGAATGGTGGCTGATGATTACGTATACCTGCCAAGACCTTGGATAAGAGATTACCTCAGCTGGTGTTTTCATAAGGCTGACGCCTACGATGCTGTTCTTGACGCTGTTGATGCTGGTTGCTGGTGATGCTGGACAACTAAATAATTCTAATAATTTCATATTATTAGAATTATTTAGATATGCATTTTATGGAAAAGTGCCCATACGGGATTGAATTGAAAGCATCAATATAAAACCTTTTATTTTCATAATTACTGAGTGATTGCTTGACTTGAGACATTGAATATATTTGATGTGTTTTGCTCCTGATGAAGTTGTAGGAGATTTCGTGCTTTTTGTTGTGATGCGGTGCTTCATGATAGTTTTGATATGTTAATTCCTTTTTAACCTTGTGCTTGACTACACCTTTGGATTTCTTGTGTTCCTCATCCTCGCCGTGGATTGTGAAAGCGTAGGATTTAGGCTTCAACCCGATAAATCTAGTAATGATTTTACCGTTGACTTCATCTTTGTACATTCCTAAGACCTTCTTATTTGTTGTGTCATGGCATGGATGTTCAACAGGATAATCACTAAAATCCATATGTTGCTTGATACCTTGAAAATCCTTGTAGACATCATCAGTGAAGGTTTGAATTACATAACTGTCAGTATCGGTATATATCAATTTGATATTTTCGTTGTATTTCTTTTTCAACACACCATAGTAAAACTCATACATATGTAATTTACTCAAATCCAAAATTGTCATTCCTAAGAATATGGGTTTATCCAATTTCAGTTTGGCTTTAGTTTTCTCCACTCCTACCAGATTTTCGTTTATGATAAATCTATTTTTGAATGTGGGATTATTCACACATTTTTCATATCTAACATCATTATCTACCAGTTCAAAATCCATATGTTTTCTTTTGTCCTCCATCGTTTTCCATACACCGCGTTATTCATTAATTTAAACAAATCCTTCTCAAAGTCGCTCTTCGCTTCTTTCCTCTTACCAGTGTTGAAGTCAATCCACGGTTTCAACCACGCCCTCTGTTGAAATTTTATTATCCTATGAACCTTGGTGAGTTTCATACCCATTTTTAGATAATACTGTAAAGTCTTGATATGAACAACATACTTTTCTTTATCTTTCAAATTTAATATTAACTTGCTGGTTTTCTCGTCCTTCGGTTCTTTGTTTCCATAGTAGATTTTGAAGATGTCTTTTTGATAGTCTGAAAGCATGTTAGCATTGACATTCATGATTTCAGGTGCTAGTGGATAGTCCGAATGGTAGTCGTGTAGTGTTTCTGGATAATCCAAATCCACTTCAAGGATGAAACCGTACTCATCTTTTTCATCCCACTTTTCAACGTTAGGTGTTTTCTTTGTCCATTTGATGTCCTTTAAAGGAAATTTTTGAGACATCGCCAGACCATACAGATTGTTAGCATCTAAGTAATTGATATAATTTGATGGCTTGCTTTCATCGAAGGCTTCATCCATATACTTATTGTTTGCCTCAGCCAGTGTATGACTGACCTGACACATACCTCCTCTCATTCCCTTTTCAACCATCTCATACATTTCTTTATCGTGCAACTGCTCAATTTCAACACCAGTTTTCAACAACATAGCTTCCCAAGCGAAGTTAGGAAGCGTATAATAGTGTGCGGGGTCCAAACCGTAGTATTCCATACATAAGTCTCTAAAATTTTCAAAAACATCAGTCAATAATAAAACATCGGTTCTCAAATACAAATCGTGATATTGTCCTAATGTTCTAATACCGAAGTGTTTCCAAACCTTTTGTGCCCTTTCATAATCTTTGACATTGACATGTTCCTCACTTAATTTACTGTAGAACGCTTCTTTTGGCGGTAAGTTTCTTTCAGTAAATCTGTCAAAACTATCAAAATAGTCATAAGGATAAATCCCCTTATCAGTCAACAAGTCCAAATCTTCATCGGTTTTAACATATGGATTTCTAACATTACATCCAAAATTGTTCTTCCAGTTCTCACGCCTTTTGTCATCTTCATACTTACTCAACTTTACCAACTTATCCAACGAAGACGATAAGAAGCTAAAACTGTCCTTGAAACAAAGGTTTTTAAAACCAAAGGTTATGAACTTCTCGCTTTTCTGTGCGACGCAATCGATTTTAGCATTCTTGCTCAGTTCGTGTGCCTTGTTGATGATTAAGTGAGCGTCATAGTTTTTAAGGTTATGAAGGAAGACTGGTATTTTATAATATATCATACTAAAAGCAAGATTGCAATCATCATGAGCACAACCTCTATATTTACCAGTAAAATGGCAATGGTCACGAACCTTCTTATCTCCTTCCTGAAAGCCCTTTCCACAAACGAAACACTTAGTAGCAGTGTCAAAATCTGTTTTATCGTCCTCAGTCATGATTATTTCTTTCACTTCCTTCATTTTCTTTATTACATCACCTCTGACTTCATTCATTTTCTCAACGAACTTATCCATACAGTCTTCGCCTCTGTATAAATAGGGCTCACTGCTTCCAGTGATGGCATTGACTACATTAATCATAAAACCACAAGGGCGATGATTTTGATGTGCTGTGGTTGTCGCTTTTGTCGATTTGCTTTTAACATCAATGGGTACTGTTAGACATTCAAAGTCGGCATATATGACATAAGGTGCTTTCAGTTTCTTAAAATGGTTCTTAAATTCAATGGTAGCTCCTACCTCTGGCATTTCTATTTGTTGTCCTTCAACCGCTAGACAACCCTGTTCTTCGTGTTGTTTTAATAACTCTTCTGACTTGAAACCGTGTGAGCACGTCCTACAATGATGTTTTTTCCTATTTGTTTTGTTGGTTTGGCTTCCCATCAGCTTGTTTAGTTCTTGATGTAAACATAGTGCGAGTTGGCATTGTCTCCAGTCAACTTTATTAAATCAATCTTTTGCTGTGCTTGGGGGTTGTTGCTTCTTTTGTATAATAAAATTGTTTTACTATTGGTATCAGGATTAATGTAATAAACATTGACCGATATGTGTTTGTTCTGTTCTTCAAACTGTTCAATCTCATCATTGCCTACAGGAAAGTTTATATTGTCCCACTTGATGAAACTATCATTAACATATTTTTTATAATGATACATATCACAGGGATTGTCTTTTTTGTATATCTCATAAAAACCACATTGAACGGAATATTTGAAACACAACTCATCATCGTTTTTAATATTGATACAAGCCTTTTTGTTTGCTACCCAGTCAGGTAATGGAATATAAGAAGAGCCACGGGTAGGATTGTATCTGTCATAACTCATCACCAGCTTTCCAACTTTAAGAAGAACAAGACCTGATTGAATGAATTCGGCTATCTCAATTTGAACCTCTATGTCGTGGGCTATGTTGTTTAAAACACTGTTTATCTCTTCTGGGTTATGGACATTGTATCTCCTGCTTCTCAGCCTTCGTCGTATCTCTTCGTTGTCAGTGTTCTTTAACGCCAAATCCACTTCAACAATGATTTTCATATTCGGGTTTCTGTTCAGGAATTCTACCATTCGTTGCTTCTGGTATTTTAAGTATGATAAGCCTTTCATTCCTTTCAATCTTATATCACTGACCGAATATGTGTTGGCGTAGCCTTTGAAGGCTTGCTGTTCATCTGTGATTTTGGATTTGAAACGCTTGACATAATCCTGTAAGGGTCTTCCTCGTGTGAGTTTGATGAAGCTAGCCCCTTTCATTAGAAGACTATGTTTTCTGTAACCATCGCTTCTCGCCACTTCCTTTAGTCTGGTATTCAACACCTTCGAAGTGGGTTTGTTCTTACTGTATCTGTAGGTCTTGGTCTCCTATTTTGAGTTTTTGTGTTTGTTTCCCTTCTTTTTGTATTAGTTCACCTTGATGACTTTTTATAATGAAATCTATGTTGTTTCTTCTGACACTGACACCATATATCTATACTCTATATTATATATAGAAAATATGTCTTTAAGTAGTTTTGGCTAGGGGTTGCCTGTTGGAGAAACTGGGCTCTGGGTTGAAACTCATCACATTAATCTTATTAATGAGTTTTAATAAGATTAATGATTTATCCTTTCATAAAGGGGGTTTTTGGTTTTTATTGCACACATTGCTTTTCTTGTGTTTGGATAGGTTGGACTTGCTTGATATCGTCCTTCCGCAGTCCTCGCAGGTGTAAGGCTGTTTTAGGTTTTTGTTGTAGTAGTTCTGGTGGTAGGTCTTCTGGTCGTCCTTCCATCTCATTAGTTGGTCGTCGCTCTCGCTAACCTTCTCGCTCATTCTCTGTAAGACTAAGTCGTTTTCCGCTTTCATAAGTTCAACCATTACATCAAATTCGTCATTCGTTATTCTCTGTTTTCTATTACCATTAATGAAAATTCCTGTCATTTTTACTTATTATCACGTTTTCTCTTTAAGTAGTTTTATTTTTTCTTCTTGCCTCGGCTACTTTTTGTATTTGTGCTTTCTGGGCTTCTGCTCCTACTTCTTGTTTCCATTTGTTCCCTCGTCCATTCACTACCTCGTGCTATTTCTTGGGGTGAGTT